AGAAAAATTAGCCGGGCTTGATGGCAAATACCTGCAGTTCCAGCTACTTGGAAGGCAGAGGCAGCAGGATAGCCCAGCAGGTCTAGGCTATGGTGGCTGTGAGCATGCCACTGGACTCCAGCCTGAGCGACAGAGTGAGACTTCGACTCAAAAAAAAAAAAAATATGTACAGAATTTACATAGGACATGGTTTTTCTACTGTCATTGGCTTCTCCAAATTGAACTCTCACGACTCACAGCACACCCATCCATTTTCAGCCTCAAGGTGGAACAGAGAGTCTTCAACACCCTGAAGAAACAATGACAAGCAATTTTCTTCTGTGTGAGGAGTCAGGTAACCTGCATTTTCATTATAATGAAGTAGGGCATTATGCTCATATTTGGAAAGGGAATTGCTTTAGACAGTGTCCATAATTATCAATTTCTATTAGCATGCTTTTATTCCTTATAAAATTTTTGTCTATCAAAGAAAATTCATAACATGAAATTACATGAAAACCTTGCCAGGTGCAGTGGCTCACGCCTGCAATCCTAGCACTTTGGGAGGTGAGGGCGAGGAGATTGCCTGAGTCCAGGGGTTCGAGACCAGCCTGGGCAACATGAGGAGACCTTGTCTTTACAGTAAATAAAAAAATTAGTCAGGCATGGTGGCACACGCCTGATGTCCCAGATACTTGGAAGGCCGAGATGGAAGGATCACCTGAGCCCAGCAGGTTGAGACTGCGGTGGCCATGAGCATGCGCCTGCGCTCAAGCCTGGCCAACAGAATGAGACTCTGACTGAAAAGAAAAAAAGTTTAATTTGTACCTAATAACTTTTACATTAATTTTTTGGATTAAATAATGAAACAGTTAAAAGGATGTCTTCTGTTACAACAAAATTTTTAAAAAATCAAGTTAGTGATATGTTTAATTTAACTGCCTATTAAGAAAACAAAATCCTCCCATGTACTAAATTCAATATTTCAAAAGTAACCCAAAGATTTAGAAAATGTTCTGCTGCCAGGCTCGGTGGCTCAGCCTGTAATCCCGCGCCTTTGGGAGGCTGAGGTGAGTGGATTGCCTGAGCCCGCGGGTTCGAGACCCACCTGGGCAGCAAGACCTCATCTCTACAATAAATCAAAAATCAGCTGGGCGTGGTAGCGCATGCCTGTAATTCCGGCTGCTTGGAAGGCTGAGGCAGAAGGATCGCCGGAGCCCAGCAGGTCGAGGCCGAGGTGGCCGGGAGTGGCCACTGCACTCCAGTCTGGGTGACAGAGTGAGACTCCAACTCAAAAAAAAAAAAAAAGAAAATGCTCTGCCATGGGCCACTCTATCATTGTGATGTGAACCATTTTCTGTGTAGTTTATGAGACAGAACAAAAAGTATGAGAGCCACATGTAATCTGGAAAAATCTTGACTTTCTAGAATAAACACATTAATTCAAGGATAATTTACTTTGTACTTTACAAACTTTATTAAATAATGGACATTACTAACTTTCATTGTCTTATATACAGTATTTAAACTATGCTTTCCTAGATGCATTTTCCCCACAAAGAATAGAATTGGTGAAGAGTGAACTTATTAAAAAAAAATAAAATGAACCTTCATGACAGGAAACTAATTAAGAACTTGACATACTTTTAAGTACATATAACCCCCCCCAATTATACACATCCCACCCCACTTCCAAAAGAAACTATTTTAAACAAAAGCAATTAATCGATAACTTTGAGGAAAAATACAAACATGATTATATATACACACAGCTCTCAAAATCTGCATCTTGGCCAACAGAAACGATCTATAAAACTACAGATTTGTCCTAGAACCTAAAGCCACATAGACATTTTATACAGCAAGACATCCACCTTCATGCAATGAGGTGTATTCCTATAGGTGACATCAAAGTCGTGCAATGAGACACTGGTGAAAGGAATTAATAATTTCTGAGAGAGACAACAGTAATATGAGCTATATAGAATTGGGTCATACAACTTGAAAAGCAAAGATGGGAAACTGCATTCCTGGGACAAGCGTCAGATAATTTTTTTTAAATAGGTCATACAAATGCACTTACACACTTGTCTAGCAAGAACATACTTTCCTACAGTGCTTATCTTTCTTGATGCTGCTTAACGTTGAAAACTTGTATCATCTTTAAACAAAGGCAAGGAAAGGAATGTTTTTAGAACCATGCTATTCATTATGGACTTTATAAGCTGTAAGAAGAATAGTTTGGAGAAGCAAGAAACTTGGTTTTTTGTTGTTGCTGTTCTTTAAAAAGAAAAACAAATGCCTTGGGTACGTAAGAGTGGTCACATTTTATAAAGTGTCAGAATTAAAAAGAGACAAAGATTATGATGAGATGTCATGTATTCCTGATCACTGCTTATCTTTCAAGGAAAAACCCAGAGCCCTTTCCTTACACATACTGCATTTTTAAAATGGAAACTGAGGGGTTGGGGAAGGGTCAGAGAACATACACCTGCCTAAAATGAGAATACACAGGCCACTGTTTGACAAGACATTCTTGCTGCATTAACCGGAGTCTTTAATAACATGGGGTATTTTTATAAAGTAGCAATGCATCTGCCTTTATTTTTCTCATTAGTTTCTTTGATTTTTCTTTTTGGTCACAACATCTTGCTTTGTTTTGCTTCCTTTCTTAAGGAGTAAGTATATAGAATCACAATGAAATGCTGTATGAAAATCAGAGTTGCAACACAAAAGTAAGATGTTATTACTCAGAACCTAGTAACTAAGACTGTTCTTCCATATGCCTCGAAACAACTTAAGATGTTACTTATGATCTAGAAATAGATTCCTGACCCATTCCTGCAGTGACTCCTCAGAGCTGGCACCAAGAAGGTCATTTGGTAGTCCAAAACTCATGAAAGTACATGTGAAAAACTGCTCTGAAAAGAGTAACTTTATTTTTATTTTTTGAGTTGGGGTTTCACTCTGTTACCAGGCTGGAGTGCAGTGGCACGATCATGGCTCACTGCAGCCTCAACCTCCTGGGCTCAGGCCACCCTTCTGCCTCCGCCTCCCAAGTAGCTCGGACTACAGGTGTGTGCCAACACACCTAGATAAGTTTTTTATTTTTTGTAGAGACTAAGTCTTGCTATGTTGCTCAGGCTGGTCTCAAACTCCTGAGCTCATACAATCCTCCCACCTTGACCTCTTAAAAGTGCTGGGAGTACAGGTGTGAGCCACCACACTTGGCCTGAAAAGAGAAGCTCTAAAGTGCTTTGTCTTATTTTAGCTCCTTATTAACTTTGTGTTGCTAAGAGATAGGCATAAATGACAGGTCTGGAGTTTTTTTGTTTTGTTTTCCTCTTTCATCTGTAATATGAAGAGATCATCAAGGGGTTCCCAGAAGTCATCCCATCTTCTCTAATAGTTAAGTCAATTTGCATCTTATTGAGCTTTTTTTTTTTTTTTTTTGAGTCGGAGTCTCACTCTGTCGCCCAGACTGGAGTTCAGTGGCCGCTCCCGGCCACCGCAGCCTTGAGCCACTGGCTCCGGCGATCCTTCCGCTTCAGCCTTCCAAGTAGCTGGAACTACAGGCATGTGCAACCACACCCGGCTAAGTTTTTGATTTATTGTAGAGATGAGGTCTCACCAAGTGGCCCAGGCGGGTCTCGAACCCGCGGGCTCAGGCAATCCACTCACCTCAGCCTCCCAAGGTGCAGGATTACAGGCTGAGCCACCGAACCCAGCTCCTTTTTTTTTTTTTTAAGACATTAAGGACATCATTCATTTCACCTAAAAATTATATACTAAACTTTACAAGCAGCATGTTCTCTGGGCCTTGTCTAGGAGTACAGGTAAGGGTTTTTTGCTTATGGCAAGTTGGTCTTGCTACATTTTAATTTTCAAGAGTCACACAGTTTCTGCATGAAAATGAAGTGACATAGGAATACTAGCATAGAAACCTTAAAATGGCCTGTAATCCCAGCACTTTGGGAGGCCGGGGCAAGAGGACCGCCTGAGCCCTAGGTTTCAAGAACAGCCCGGGCAACTTGGCAAGATCTCATTTCTATAATAAATAAAAAAAATTAGCTGAGTGTGGTGGCGCATGCCTGTGGTTCCAGTCACTTGGAAGGCTGAGGCAGAAGGATCATCTGAGCCTGGCAGGTCGAGGCTGTGGTGGCCGAGAGCGTACCACTGTACTCCAGCCTGGGTGACAAAGTGAAACTCCAATTAAAAAAAAAAAAAATAAAGAAAGAGACCCTAAAATGGGCACCATAGACTACACACCAGTTCGAGATTTCAGGCTTACGTTATCCTGAGGTCTTGCCACACATGTAACACAAATGCAAGGTATAAGCAGCATAATTCTTTCAACAGTATTAGTTTCCTTGTGAAAAAGTCTCCTTCCTGCCTTTGAGTCATAGGATGAAATTACTTGGTGCTGCTGGATACTATGAGAGGATTATTGCCTTTCTTTTTCTTTCTTTCTTTCTTCTTTTTTTTTTTTTGAGTGGGAGTCTCACTCTGTCTCCCAGGCTGGAGCGTAGTGGCACTCTGCTCACAGCCACTGCAGCCTCAACCTGCTGGGCTCAGGCGATCCTTCCACCTCAGCCCTCCAAATAGCTAAAACTACAGGTGTGCGCCACCTCACCCGACTCATTTTTGGGTTTACTGTAAAGATGAGATCTTGCTGTGTTGTCCAGGCTGGTCTTGAACCCCTGGACTCAGGTAATCCTCTTGCCTCCACCTCTCAAAGTGCTGGGATTACAGGCTTGATCCACCGCCCCCGGTCGGATTATTGCATCTCTTAAAGAATGAGGGGCATTATTGTCAAGATATGGGGGAAAAATATCATGGCCATCATGTTAAAAAGAAAGCAAGCCTCAACATTTTCAAATAAGACTGACTTATAGGAAACATGACAGCAAGCATCAGAAAACACACTGTTACCTGCCAATGTTCAATACAATCCCGGCGGCATTGTGAGCCTTTTCAAAAAGTTGTGCTGTGAAAGATAGTATATTTTACACCTCTGGTTATTACAAAACTGTTTAGTCTGGTCCACAGAAAACACCTCATCGGTATCTGATCTTTTATGAGCATAAGAAGAAGTTAATTCAGGCAGCTATTATTATGAACCCTAAGCAAAACTGCTCGAACTAAGACACTGAAATTTTTCCCTTAGAGACTGGACAATGTTTTGTTGATTGGGAGATGGCCCTCTCCAAAGATAGTCATTCAGTTTGTCAGAATCGCTATAGGGTGTGAGATATGGAGATAGCCCGAGTTTGCTGTTGACTGGCTTTTTTGGAGTGCATGGACTATCCAAAGGACAGGACACGTTGCTGATGCAGACGTGAGCAGAGAAGTCCGTGTTCATAACCTTGGCGTCGGGTTTCCTCCTGCGACTGTGAGACAACTCCAGGTCTGACTCGTCCTCTTCTGACTTTATTTCCACATAATCATCTTCGTCTCCCTCAGTCTCTTTGAAATTGGAAAAATAGTTCTGAGTCGCTATTTGGGCATTCAAGGGTAAATTTCTATTGACTACCAAAACTTTCTGTGAGTCCTGGAGTGTGAGGTCAGAAAGCGCTTCAGTGCCCTGTTGACGCAGGTCCGCGATACCCAGCAGCGAGTCCTGGTGACTGTCGCACTTCGAACTTTTGGGTAAAGACAGCAGCTGCGGCTTCCCCATTTCACTAGGGTAGTTGATGGAGTCCAGGGACTTGTTTATCAAGATGGAGGAAGATGACTGGGACCTGGGATAAGGCTGAGATTTAGCACTGATCCCTTTCCGACCCAGAGAGTTGTAAAGAGGGCCCTTGCACAAATTCTCTTTGTGGGGCTGACTTACCACCACGCCGCACCCTTGCAGGGAGCCCAGCAGAGGGTCAGAGGCTTGAAGAGAAGGCACGGAGCACGCGGCCGACAACTGTCTGGGGGTGTTTTTGGTACCGACCTCGAAAGTGGGATATCTTGACCTCAAGTCTGGCTCCGGCTGAGGACAGAAGTCTGCTAACTCTCCGTTACTATAGGTTGAATGCAGAAGCCAATCCTCACTACCATGATGGGCCCGGGAAGGTGATGCAGACCGGAGCAGGGAGTGTCCCTGAGGGCTGGGCCAGTCATCCTTCTGGATTTTAAGGGGTGTCTCTCGGAATACAATCTGGTCATACAATTGGGAATACTCAGCAATCCTGGCACCTGGAAGGCAAATACGGAAACAATAAATACACATAGGCGTATTCCTGTGTAAGTAGATTATAAATAAGAAGGCAACATTCTAACCCACGTGTTAAAACAGTTTTAACAGCAGACAATACTTTTCAGTGACATTTTTGAGGATGAGTAATCATTGACCACTAAGCAGCACAAACTATTAAAATAATCCATGGTCTACTATAAACAAAAATGCCGCCTACAAGTTCATTGAATTGACTCTAATTCTGCATTATTTTGTTACAACAGCAGTTCTGCAAGGGTCCACTCTATGGAATGAAAGTTTCTAGTGTTCTTTACAAGCATGAAACAGTATCAAGTGCTGAAAAGAAAACGAGAAAGTCAGCACTTAAGCCCTGGTCAATGAAAAATAACTCAAGTGGTCATTAAAAAGACATCTGACCACGATCCACAATGCAGTGGCTACCTCTGACTTCTTACCATTTTTCTTTGTTCTCAGACAAAAGCTCCTGGCAGCTGTTTCTACACTTCTTGCCTTCTGCCTGGGGACCCAAGTCTAAGGGAAGCCCCACTGCCAGTACTTCTAAACCACAAGTATTGTTTCTTTCTTTTGCTTTTTGAGTCGGGGTCTCACTCTGTTGCCCAGGCTGAAGTGCAGTGGCATGACCATGACAATAATGCTTATGGCAGCCTCGACCTCCGGGACTTAGGTGATACTCCAGCCTTGACCTCCCGAGTAGCTGGGACTACAGGTACGCGACACCACGCCTGGATAATTTTTTGACTTATTGTAGAGATGAGGTCTCACTATGTTGCCCAGACTGGTCTCGAACTTCTGGCCTCAGGCAATCCTTCCACCTCAACCTCCCAAAATCCCATGCCTGGTATTACAGGTGTCAGCCCCTGTGCTTGGCCACAAACCACATGTGCTAACTAACTCGCATCTCCTTATCCACCCTCCTGTGCCACCAAGACATTAAGAAGGAAACGCCTGTCAGGCTCAGTGGCTCAGCCTGTAATCCCAGCACTTTGGGAGGCCGAGACGAGTAGATTGCCTGAGCCTGTGGGTTTGAGACCTGCCCGGGCAACTCGGCGAGACCTTGTCTTTACAATAAAATAAAAAATAGTCAGGCGTGGTAGCACACATCTGTAGTTCTGGCTACTCGGAAGGCTGAGGCAGAAGGATCGCCGGAGCCCAGCAGGTCGACACTGGGGCCATGAGCATGCGTACCACTGCATTCTAGCCTGGGTGAAGGAGTGAGACTCCAACTCAAAAAAAAAAAAAAAAGAAGAAGGAAATGTCTGTGCATACACTTAATAATCTAATGCTTTCTACTACTGGTAAAAAAAATCATGGCATGACAGTTACTTTCACAAAAGCTTTTGCCACTTAAAAATTAAGCTATGAGGCCATTTCCCCCTTTGCACCACTTCTGAGAACAGATATTTCTTTAAAAAAAAACAAAACATTTTGTGTGTTTGTGTGTGTGTGTGTGTGAGAAAGTCAGAATCTCACTCTGTCCCCCAGGCTGGAGTGCAGTGGCATGATCACAGCTCACCTCAGCGTCAAACTCCTGGGCTCAAGCAATCCTCCAGCCTCAGCCTCCTGAGTAGCTAGTACAGGTAGGTACACACCACCACACCTGGCTTATTTATTTTTTATTTTTTGTAGAGATAGGGTCTCACTATGTTGCACAGGCTGGTCTTGAACTTCTGACCTCAAGCGATCTTCTCACCTTGGTCTTACAAAGTATTGAGATTACAGGTGTGAGCCACTGTGCATAGCCTGTACAGACATTTCAAAAGATATTAACTGAGCTGGGCATGGTAGCTCATGTCTATCATCCCAGCACCTTGGGAGGCGGAGGTGAGAGGATTGCCTGAGCCCATGGGTTCGAGACTAGCCTGGGCATTTGGCAAGACCCCATCTCTACAATAAATTTTTAAAAATTAGCTAGGCGTGGGAGTGCATGTCTGTGGTTCCAGCTACTTGGAAGGCTGAGGCAGAAGGAGCATCTGATTCTAGCAGGTCAAGACTGTGGTGGCTGTGAGCGTGGAGGTGCTAGCCAGGGTGACAGAGTGAGACTCCAACTCAAAAAAAAAAAGATATTAACTGAACCATGATATGGATAGCAGATTCTCCTGAGTCATTAATACTTAAGAGTGGGAACCCAGGCTGGGCTCAGTGGCTCAGCCTATAATCCCAGCACTTTGGGAGGCCAAGGCGAGTGGATTGCATGAGTCCACAGGTTCAAGACCAGCCAGGGCAACCTGGCAAGACCTCATCTCTACAATAAAATAAAATAAAAAATAGCCAGGCGTGGTAGCATGCGTCTATAGTTCCAGCTATGAGGAAGGCTGAGGCGGAAGGATTGCTGGATCCCAGAAGGTCGACACTGGGGTGGCCGTGAGCATGCATGCCACTACACTCCAGCCTGGGCAAAGGAATGAGACTCCAACTCAAAGAAAAAAAAAAGATTGGGAACCCAGAGATGTCAATTTCAAGATCTGTCCCAATCCAGGTACCCACATGATCCATTAGAATCAAAGATTTCAGATTGCTCAGACCACATCGACACAGTCTGTGAAGGAAATCCATCCCATCTACGATCACCAGGAGGTAACATTATGTTTTCTTCTTCTTTAAGCTATTTATATTTTTAGTGACCTGTTATGAGCAAATTACTCCTTGAAATTAAACTAAACAAGGCCGGGTGCAGTTGTTCAAGTCTGTAATCCCAGCACTTTGGGAGACCTAGATGAGAGGATTGCCTGAGTCCAGGGCTCCAAGGTCAGCCTAGGCAACTTGGTAAGACCTCATCTCTACAATAAATCAAAAAATCAAAAAATTAGTCAGGTGTGGTGGCACACACCTGTAGTTTCAGCCACTTGGAAGGCTGAGGCAGAAGGATCACCTGAGCCCAGCAGATCGAGGTCGCAGTGGCTGTGAGCATGCCACTGCCCTCCAAGCCTGGGCGACAAAGTAAGACTCCAGCTCAAAAAAATAAAAAAGCTAAATACTCTTCAACTTGAGTTCCTGTCATTTATTTTGAGCCCATTTTCTTTTTTTCTTTTTTTTTGAGTTGGAGTCTCACTTTGTCACCCAGACTGGAGTGCAGTGGC